GCGGCCGCCCGGGGAGCCTACAGGCAGCCCAGCCACGTTCCCCTCAGCTGTGCCCACCTGATTTTGTGCCCTATGCGCCTTGCTCAGGGCAGGTCCGGCAGCACAGAAGCGATGCCCTCACCCCCAAACCCAGCAGCACAGCACCTTTCCTCAACCTTGCACAGGGGCAGTTTTGCAGAAAGCTCCCAAATGCAAGAAGACAGCAGATGCTCCCCAACCATGGCTGTACCTGCCAGGGAAATAGCACCAGAAGCGCTCAACACCTCCATTCCTTTCCTCCCCGCTTCCATCCCTTCAGCGTTATGTGTAGCAGCAACAGGATCAAGTGCACCTTGTCCAAATTAGCGGCCACCCATCCTTTCACTGTCGATAGTATTTGTGGTGGGGCAAACCCTCCCAACCTCCCCAAAATCAGCATGAGGTGCTGGCAGCAGCTTGCTCAGCTTCCCCCATCCTGGGCATGGTGCTGCCTCTCCAGCCAGGACCCAGAGGCTCCTCGCAGGCAGGGGTTTGGTTTCCCAACCTGCTCATCTGGGTGCCCAAACGCACCCTGGGCACTTTCTAAATAATTATTAATAAAAATAGATAGGAGGAAGGTGATGGCTGGAGAAAAGGACAAGGCAAAGAGGAAGGCTCCATTGCTTGGAGTGGGATGCCCTGGGGCTCGGCGAGGCCCTGGGAGCTGAGGGGCTTGCGGCGGGCACAGCCCTTCTCGCTGCCTTCCCTCCCAGCATTATCCTGCCACCCAGGAAAGCTGCCTGCAGCCTGGTTATCTCTCGCAGGGCCTCACGCAGGAGCGGGCTGGCCAGCTCGTATGGCCCCTGCCCTCAGCCGTGGGCACATCTGAGCCCGTGCTCCCTGGCATGGCCCTAAACGCAGCCACCTCTCCCCAAAGTATGTCCCCAGGGAAGGGGCCAGCTTGCTGCCGCAGACCATGGGGCGTGCCAATCCCTAAACTCCCTCCCTCTACCCTCCTGCCCCTGACCAACTCCACCATGAGAGCTAAGAGGACCGGTCACTGGTAGTATATTTATATGTTGAAACAAATAAAAATAAGCAAAACCCAAAAAGTGACAACAACAAAAATGTTTCTCTGAACGAGAGCAAAATAGGAACATTTACAAATACCTCTGGCTCTGGCTTGGACCAAGTTAATGTTAAATACAAAAAAAAAACCCAAAAAAACCCCAACCCCCCAAAAAAACCCACCCCTCCGCCATGATTATAAAAAAATAAGAATATACACATTCAGAGAGCTTATTACAGTATAAAGTTACTGAGGGAGCACAGAGGGGCAGGGGGTTGAGGCGGTGGCAGGGGCAGCCCCCCCCGGCAGGCACTGCTGCTTCCCCAGGGGTTTGGCTTTTTTCACTCAGCACTTTTCCAGCCCCTGACTCATGGCAGGGCTGGGCCGGCGGGTTCCCGCTGCTGGCTTGGGAAAACCCGGCAACCCGGAGAGCCAGTCACTCCCCATCACCTCGTACCTAGTGACTCCCTCACCTGTGCCCCGAGGGGCAGGGGACACCAGCCAGCTCCTCGCCCCCCAGCCAACCTGCCAAAATCCTCCAGATCCTCCTCCCGGGAGCAGAGCTGCCCTCTCCCAGCAGGAGATGAGGATGGGGAAGACAAGACAAGGAAAGGAGGGAAGGTGCTGCCGAGCATCCCTGTGCCCATCCCACGGGATGGGCACAGGAACGGGTCCCAGTGCTGCCCGTGAGGAGCCAGGGGGGCAAGAAAGGGAAAAAAATAGGAAAAAAAAAAAAAAGAAGAGCTGGGGGATGAGGGGGGGAGAGAAGACAGAGCCAGGACCAAACTCACCGCTCCAGGGATCACAGCGGTGAGACGGCAGGATGGCGGGGACCCACTGGAGCTGCTAAAAGGGGTGCTTGTATATATGTATCTATATAATAGCCGGGGTTGGGCACAGCAAGGATATATTATATACACACATACATACAGACACACAGGATTAGTGGCAGGTAAGACTGACGTAGGTGCCTCTTCCTAAGCCCCAGGCCAGGGCAGGACTGGAAATACATTTCCTAGGGCTTGGCAAAGCCCCTTCTCTAGATACACTTTAGATGGTCCCAACAAAAAAAACA